ACCAATATTATGTAATCAGTTTTAGTTACATCTTCAGACTAAAAGCTCTCTTGACAAAATTACTGATAGTAATTGCAGTTTTCTTACTGCAAAACATGTTCCTGCTCTGTTTCCCTCCTCACCCACCCTGATTCCACTTCACTTGATTTTGTTTTCGTCAGTCACAAATTATTTCTAAAGAATAAGTGCTTCTTATTAATGGTCCATTAATTTCCACATATCCCTAATCTTCTAGGATGAGATTAACTCTTAATAGCAGAACAGTCAATATAGCAACATGAATATATCCCAAGAAAACATAAACACCCATCAGAAAGCATATATGCACCTCTATGTTCCTAGCAGCACAATTTACAATTGCTAAGACTTGGAAACAGCCTAAGTGCCCATCAGCAGATGAGCGGATTAAAAAAAACCTGTGGTACATTTACACAGTGGAGTACTATGCGGCAATAAAAAAGAAAGACCTCTTACCATTTGCAACAGCGTGGATGGACTTGGAGAGTATTATGCTGAGTGAAATAAACCAGTCAGAGAAAGATAAGTATCACATGATCTCACTCATATGTGGAATCTAATGAACAAAATAAACTGATGATCAAAAATAGACCCAGAGTCATAGAAGCATGAACAGACTTGAACCTCAGAGGGAAGGCAGGGCATGGTGGGTGGGAAGAGATCAACCAATGAAATTGTATGCATATATGCTTAACCCATGGACACAGACAATGGGGTGGTGAGGGCCTGGGGCGGGGGAAGAACAGGAGCAGACTGGAAAAGGTTAATGGGAGAAAAAGGAGTATCTATGTAATACTTTCAACAATAAAGATTAAAAGATAAAAAGATAGCAACATAGACTATTTCACTATACCCTGTTCAGCTTTCCGTTGTCTTAGTTGTCTTTTACTTTCTCTCAATTTCGACTGAGAGACTCAAGAAGACTCAGTGCCTTTCTACTAAGGAGTGTTGAATGTCCTCTGTGGTACATAATTTTATCTTTATTATTTAAAAATTAAAAGGATTTTAAAAATATATATTTTATTGATTTTTTTACAGAGAGGAAGGGAGAGGGATAGAGAGTTAGAAACATCGATGCGAGAGAAACACTGATCAGCTGCCTCCGCACACCCTCCCGGAATTGAACCTGGGACCCTTTAGTCCACAGGCCGATGCTCTATCCACTGAGCCAAACCGGTTAGGGCTAAAAGGATTTTTAAAAAATATATATATTTTTCTTGATTTCAGAGAGAGGAAGGGAGAGGGAGCGAGAGAGAGAGAGAGAGAGAGAGAGAGAGAAACATCAATGATGAGAGAGAATCATTGATCGGCTGCCTCCTGCATACCTCACACTGGGGATCCAGCCTGCAACCCAGGCATGTGCCCTGACCAGGAATTGAACCGTGACCTCCTGGTTCATAGGTTGATGCTCAACCACGGACCCACACCAGCTGAGCAGATTCTTGCCACTTTGGCATGTAAAGATGATTTCAGAGTGAGTGCCTCTTATGATTATTCCAATTTAAAAAGGAGATGCCACACACAGGTGCAGCCCTGTCCAGTAGAACTTTCTGTGAGGATGGAAGTGTTCTGCATCTGTTCTATATGTGTACTGAGAAACTGGTTTTTTAATGGTATCTGATTTTTAAATAATTTAAATGTAAATAGCTGCATGTGGTAGTGGCTCCTGAATTGGACTGTGCAGTTAACTAGATGGACTTACTTAGACAGATAAGGAACAAAAAGTGAGGAATGAGGCCTTAAACAAGTCACTTCAAACCCATCTGTTCTCGGCGTCTCCTCTACAAGCTCTGGTACTGGCACTTGTCATTCAACAACGCTCAGATGTGTGCAGGCCACCAAGATCAGAATCCACAATTAGCTCCTGTGGTTCATATCAGGTCTGCAGGGCAGTGATGGAACCTAGAAGCCAAGACTTATGTTTGTCTCCTGGGAGCCCTGGGCTGCCCATGGTCAGCTAACCCCTCAGTTTGGGATGTACAACTTGGAAGAGAAACCAGATTGACTTACAAGGCATTACCAAACCATTAGATGGAACCATTAGCTGGACAGGGTTTGGGTGGGCTGTGGGGAGAGCTTTTCTAGTAAGAGGTTGGCAGGGACTGAGACCACAGGCCTAGGCTGTGGTAGGAGGTAAGATTGGCGAGGGGCATTGGGCGCCACAGCTGAATGAGTCATGCTTCCTCTTCTCCAGGACATGCTCACTCAACTAGATAAGCCTCAATTCTCTCGTTCCAGCTTGTTCCTCACAAACTGTGGCCTCAGGTGTTGGCTTATGAAAAGAAGTTGGGTGCTTGTCTATACGTGAGATGGTACACTAGGAAATCTGACTGGTGCTTTCCAACTCCGGATGCTGTGATCCTCCACTGCCGACCCAGGAGGCAGAGGGAGGGGAAGTCTGGTCTTCACTCTTTGTGTTAGCGGAATCACCAGCCATGTAGGCTTGGAGGCAGAAGACTTAATAGCCTCCTGGACCCCTCTCAAATTACATCCAAGACAGGGAGTTCTGTCTCCTTCATTTCTCATGACCCCATCCCCGTCACCTGGGTCAGACCCTGTCTCTGTCCCTCTGTCCAGGTGTTACCTTCTCTGTCATGGATCCATCATGTCACTCTCTGGCTTAACCTCCTCTAACATCTGCTTAGCTTGAGTACAGTCTACACTGCTGATGGGGATTCCCAGGCGTATTGGGATGGGCTCCTGTTTATCCCTCTAGCCCCCTCTCTCTGGCCAGTGACCACCCCACGCTTGTTGTGTCCGGGACACTCTGCATGCACTCGCACCTCACTGTCCACATGCTCTTTCCTTCCTCTCTTGTGTCTGCCATGTTCATCCTTCAGTATGTGGCTCACGCCTCACCTCTTCCCTAAAGCCTTCCTCGACCATGTACACTTTGGTGGTTTTTTTCTTTTCTCTTCCATTTCCATTATAGTTTGATAACACTAACGCAGGTAAATCAAATCATGTGCAAACGGGGTTGGCATTTGGAAACAAAAGTTCATAGATTTGAAGCGTACAGTCTAATGAATGTTTACATATACACCCTTGTAACCAACACCCAGTTTAAAAAACTGAACATTCTTAACACGTAGAAGGTTCTCTTGTGCCTCCTCCTAGACCATACTCCCCCACCCCCAAAGGTGACCATTGTTCTCACCTCTTCTCACTATGAGTTAGTTTTGCTTGTTTTTGAACTTTATTAAAATAGATTCATGTAGTATGTACATTGTTATTTTGGCAAAATATATATAACATGAAATTTACCATTTTAGCCATTTTTAAGAGTTCAGCTCAGTAGCATTAAGTACATTCACATTATTGTGCAACCATTACCACGGTCTATCTCCAGAACTTTTCCACCAAATATATACTTTTTTGTGTCTGGTATTCTTGACTCAACATTATGTCTGTAAGGCTTACCCATGTTACAGATCTCAAGCTTTCATTTCTTTTGATTTCTGAGTATTATAACATTGTGTGACTGTACTACAATTTGTCTTATCCATTCTCTTGCTCGTGGACAGGTGGGTTATTTTCAGCTTTTTTACTAAAACTGCTGTAATGAACATGCTTGTACCCATCTCTTGGTGCCCATACAGATGCATTTTTGTTGTGGACATACCAAGGAGTGGAATTGCTGGGTATTATGATAGGCACATGTTCAGCTTTAGCAGATAGTTCCAACACGTTTTCCAAACAGTTGGAATTAGTTTCCGATTGCTGTTATAACAAATTACCACACGTTTACTGGCTTATAGCAACAGAATTTATTGTCTTATAATTCTGGCAGTCAGAAGTCCTAAAATTAAGGTGTCAGCAGAGCCTTTCTGGAGGTTCTAGGGGAGAATCTCTTTCCTTGTCCTCTCCAGCTCCTACAGACTGCCTGCACTCCTTAGCTCATGACCCCATCCTCCACCTTCAAGGCCGGCAGTGTAGCATCTTCCGATCCCTCTCTCTCCAACTTTTGCTTTCATTGTCACATCTCCTCTCTCTCACTTTAACTCTCCTAATCTCCCTTGTGATTACATGGGGGCCACCTGGAAAATCCTAGGTAATCCCCCCATTTCAAGAGCCTTAGCTTAATCACATCTGCAAATGCCTTTTTGTCACATAAGGTAACATTCACAGGTTCCAAGGACTAGAATGTGGATATCTCTGGGGGGTTATTATTCTGTCTATCACATGGCCATGCCATTTTGCATTAGACTTCCAGTTCCTCCACATCTTTATGGACACAGGGTATTGTCAGACTTTTTAATTTTAGCCATTCTGGTGGGCGATGTGGGGGCACAGCCACAGCCACCACCCCCAGGTGGTGTGTCCACCTTTGCTCCGATATACCATTATTGCAACTTATCAGTATTACATTTATAAATATTTGTTTGCATGCCTCTGTCCTGGCCCAACTGTACACTCCTTCATGAGGCAGGTCATTAGTAGCTGGTTCAGTACACGCTACTTGGATAGTAAGAAGTGTCAGGGCAATTTTTCAGTACCATTGCTGGCTCCAGATAGGGTTTCTCCCAACTGAAAACAGGACCAGCCTGGCCAGTATGGCTCGGTGGTTGAGCATCTATGAACCAGGAGGTCAGGGTTTCATTACTGGTTGAGGCACATGCCCGGGTTGTGGGCTCGATCCCCAGTGTGGGGTGTGCAGGAGGCAACGGATCAGTGATTCCTCATTGATGTTTCTATCTTTCTCTCCCTCTCCCTTCCGCTCTGAAATCAAGAAAAATATATATAAAAAATGAAAATGAAAACAAGACCAGAGTAAAGAACTGGTTTCTAGCTTCTGCATGCTGTTGTCTTTCCCAAGGTAGTTCATCTATTAGTGAGTAATGCCCTAGGAGATGTGGGCCCCAACTCCCGAGGGCGTTGGTTGCAATGACTTCACTGTGTATGTAAATGAGAAGGGAAATACAGTTCCGGTGGCAGGCTTCTGGGGAGTCTGATCTTGGACCTGCAGAGACTCGGGTTTTCCTTTTCCTGGATTCTGCTCATGTAGCAACACACTGCAGCTCCTCGCTTGCAAAAGGAAGGACTGGAAGGTAAGTTCTGGGAGTGTCATGTGTGTAGACTTAAACCTGCCTTGGAGACTTGAGTCCGGAATTTCTGAGGAGGGTGAAATCACAGTAGAAGCGAATTTCCCACTGCCCCTGGACACAGGGTGGTGGGCGCAAATGTCTTGGCGCCAGGGAGATAAACCTGGAAGTGGGGTTAGTATTAGACAAAAGGCCAACAGGATCCTGCCTTTGGGAACATCCTAATGTGAGTGACCACCTCCTGTGTTCTAGTTTGTTTCCCAGTTTACGTTGCTGGGCACACGCCTGGTTTCAGAAGGGCTGTCAGGTTTCAGGGCCTCAGTCTTATCTTTCCAGGCCACCGAGGTGTTGGCAGCGTTCCTGTGGCTTGGCATCACTGTGACCCTCTGGGGTGTGGTGTGTATGTGGGAACACTTGTCCTGGATGTGGCAGAATGATTTCCTCAGCTCTCACAGGAAAATCTCTGTAGCCAACCAGGACCTGGCTGGTTGGTATCTAGATCATAAGGAATTGGTCCTTTGAGAAAAATATTTTCTCAGGGTAGGTGTTACTGTAATGGGCCTGTGTTGGGGTTACTGGTCCCTTTTGAAGACAAACTGACTCGGTCACAGCTGTAGTGATTTGAATAAGTGCACACGTGATTCACAGGCTGATCTGAAGACAAGCCAGCTGTGCCACAATGGAGACACGTCTGGGCCCTGAGTGGTTTGGCCAGTACACATACCAGGAGGATTGGGATGGGCTGAACAGGGCCCTGGCCCTGTGTTTATGGAGTCCCAGTGACTTCCTGGACTTCCTCTCCTCTCTGCCTGTTGTATTCAAATTGTGGAGAATGTCAAGTGGTGGCATTCCTGCTGAGAGCTGTCCCTCTAAGACCCAGATCCCGCTCCCTCTTCACTCCTCATCATCTTGGATCAAGGAGACCAAGGGCCAGCCTTTTGGAGTTCCCTCTGTGGACTCCAGGTCTGCAGAGAATCTTAAGAGAAAATATGGGGTGAGCTGCCACACATATTTTTTCCAGAGAGTGGATCTTTGCTCCACATTCTGTGAAGCTGGAGGGGCACCCATCACCTCCTGGGTCAAGAAGTTCTTCATGTTCATACAAACATCTCTCCTCCAAATGCCTCTCTCTTGCTAATGCCTCCTGTGAACAGGCAGGACAACCACTCAGCATCCTTTTCACAAAACCCCCCAGTCTCCTTTAAGGGACTTGTGACCTTCTGTAGGGCTTAGTTCCCCAAAGCCTCCTAATGTGACTTTTCTGTGTATTTACTCCTGTGATATTGGTGTTTCCATTCTTTAACCTTTTTGAACAAATTACCCATAATGTAGCCTTTTCACCTCTTTCTCCAGTTAAGAATTTACTGATGAGCTATCTCCTCACGCCTGTCAGATGGCACTTATTAAAAAACTAGAGGCCCGGTGCACAAAAATTTGTGCACTCGGGGGGGGGGGGGGGGCCCCCACG